GAAAATTTATTTAATTCTCGAACAAGCCCAATTATTTTTATTTAGGCTCAACTACTTAATTGAGACATTTTAAATCCTAGCCGATTTTATTTTAATTAGTCGGCCCATTTTTAATCGTGTAGTCGAATTAAATTCCCAACCAAGTAGCATTTTTATTGTTCCGGGCCTAAGTCGAGTATTATTTCTAGCCCGTTTTTAGAAGCCCAACAAGAACAGGAAACCCTAATGCTACTCCATCTATAAATAGCACTCATATTCTTCCTCTCCACCTACCTTATCCATTTCAAGGTCTACCACCACCACACATCATCTCCTTCCCCACACATCAATTTTTCAGCCGACCACCACAGCTCCGGCGAGCAGCCGTCGTCCAGGTACCGGCGAGCCACGTCCACGCAACCAGCTAGTCCATCACAACCCTGGTTCACGTCCGTCCACGCAGCTCGTCACCACCATACACGCGAGCTCAACCCTCTGTCCGAGTATCCAGCTCCGACGACCTCCATTTCGCTAGCGAGCAGCATAAGCACCCAGCCCTACCATCCTCTTCACGTCGTTCGAAGCTCCAGCGAGCTCACCACCACGCCAGCTGCCTCCATGCTGCTCAGCCCGCAGCATTCCCTTCGGCAGCCCACCATTCATGAATCCAGCTCCATCTCGCCGGCGAGTTTTTGCTGGTTCTATCTTCACGCAGGTCACACACCTCAAGCCGCAGTCGAGCTTCATCGTCCATGTCGAGCAGCTCCGGCGAGCTCACCACCGCGCCAGCCACCTCCACGCTGCTCAGCCCGTAGCATTCCCGTCGGCAGCTCACCATTCATGAATCCAGCTCCACCTCGCCGGCGAGTTTCCGCTGGTTCCATCTTCACGCAGGTCGCACCACCTCAAGCCGCAGCCGAGATTCATCCTCCACGTCGAGCAGCTCCGGCGAGCCCAAAACTGCCGTTATTCGAGTCCCGTCAAGCTACCAGCTCCGACAACCCTTTCCAACTCGACCCGACCAGATCCACAACACACGCGACCCCAGCTCCGTACCATGTCGCGCCTGAGCTCAACTCCGACCAGACCAGAGGTCTTCAGCTCAAAACCAAGCTCTTCAACACAGAACCGAGCCCTTTAGCTCAGAATTGAACCAGCCCTAACATATCCGACCCAGTTTTAAATAACCAACCTATTTTCACTAGCTATTCTCGTGTTCTGATTTTCATTTCGAACCCTTCGAGAGGTATACGGATGAAACTCTTTCTCCATGGCCTTAAGTAACAATTTAGATTAACTTTAAAAATGATGAGAGGTGATTTTGAGCATTATATGAATTACGGTGATTTTTTCGATCTAAATAGCATTAAATTCGGTAAATAATGTGTGCTGCCCGGAAAAATGCAAAACCAACTTGATAAATTTCGTTTAGCTGACTTGAGGCCTAGGTTTTAATTTCGTGAATTTTGGTGCCTGTTTACTATGTTAACCGAATTTATGAATATTGAGCCGTAATGCCCGATTTTTTATAAATAAGCTAAAGATCTCGAAATGCGGTGAAAATTTTAAGGTAAATCTTAAATTTTGTAATTTTTGGAGACTGTTTGATAGGCCTAAAAATTCAGGACTTTAGCTGCTTTTAGCAAAAAATTCTAGAATTTATTCGGTTGAGATTTAGCTGCAGTTGTTGGGCCTAAGATCACCAGAAATTATGTTGAACTTAGGGTTTGCATTTTGGCTTAAACCGAGTTAGGTTGCCGGTTGAGTAGAGAATCCTAGTTCGGCCTTTTCCCGGACAGTCCGGATGAACTCTATATCCGAGTAGAAAAGTTGTGCGTCGGCTAAGGCAGTGTCCAGGCGTATGTACTTGGACCATGGTGAACCGAGTTGCACCCAGTCAGATGAGCAACCGGCCAGTTCAGATTGAGTCGCCGGTCCAGTTCAGCCGAATCGATCCGGGCAGTCTTGACGATTCGAGAGTCTCCGCTCGGAATAACGGTTTGAGCGTGAACCGAGATTCAGTATCTTTCCGAACATAGTCAGATAAGTCAAATCAATATAAGCTAGTTCAGATAAAAACAATAAGTCAAATAGGCCAGATCAGATAAATCAGATAAGTCAGATAAGCCAGATCAGATAAATCAGATAAGCAGACCAGACTTATAAATATTTCAGAGAACTCTATGAAGCCTCAAAGTCAGTAATTTTTCCAGAATAGCTCATAAATCCTCTAAATCGAGATTAAATGTATTTAAAATCGAGGGAGCAAACCTAGTAAGATCAGGTAATAATAAGAATCAAGTCTTCAGTTTGAGCTTAGCACTTAGTACATTTTGCTCAAATATTTATGTAGATTAAGGAGAGTCGAGCCTCCGACAGCTACCAGTCATCCAGCACTTGCCTAGCAGCAGCAACTTATCAGGTGGGGGTCATGTACTGTGTTTCACATCATCCTTAATTTTCGTACCATGTCTGAGGTATGTAAGAGAAACGTTTATCATCCAAGATTGGAGGCTGAGCGGGCCTTAATGTTCTACCTGTGTGTAACGCCCCGTTCGTTTATGAGTAAATTGGATTATTATTATTATTCTTATTATTATTATTATTATTATTATCATTATTGTTATTGTTATCATTATTGTTGCCATTATTGTTAATTGTTTAATTTCCTAAATGAATTTATGTGCCTTATGTGTATTTAAAATAAATATTAATTGTGGAGATGTTATTATAAATATTAAATACTATTTTAAATATTTTATTTATTATTATTATTTTAATTTTAATTTATTCGTCGAACCGAGCCTCCGGTCGAAACCCGCGAGCCATGCCCGAAGGCCGCACCCAGCCAACCCTAGCCGCCCCCTTTCCCTCTCATTTCCTTGTGTTTTTGGTAAGGGGATCAATTTGGGGCCTTTCCTTTTTCCCCTCCTTGTG